ACTCACACACACACACACACACACACACACACACACACGGGACAGGAGAAAGTGAAAAGCTTCAGAACTGTGTGTGTGTGTGAGAGACAGATAGTTTCCTCTAGAGTTGGACAGAAGTGGACGGACGCTGCAGCAGAGTCTGATGCTTGTGGTTTGTGTTTCAGACGCAGACAGCAAGTGTTCCTGAGAGCCGACGACACACCTGCTGCTGCCCTGCCCTCCCTACAGGTATCTATCTATCTATCTATCTATCTGATTGCTTCTGTTTCGCCTGTATCTGTTTCTCGTCTTGTATCGCTACACATCTCACACATTTGTGCTTGAATTAGTGGTTGTTTTCTTTCTTTAGAGGAAAGACTTGAGGAATAATAGTCAGAAAACCGATGAATGATTGACTGTGGTTTGTGTTTCAGACGCAGACAGCAAGTGTTCCTGAGAGCCGACGACACACCTGCTGCTGCCCTGCCCTCCCTACAGGTATCTATCTATCTATCTATCTATCTGATTGCTTCTGTTTCGCCTGTATCTGTTTCTCTTAATCTCGTCTTGTATCGCTACACATCTCACACATTTGTGCTTGAATTAGTGGTTGTTTTCTTTCTTTAGAGGAAAGACTTGAGGAATAATAGTCAGAAAACCGATGAATGATTGACAGAGGAAATCAAGTGTGTGTGTGTGAGTGTGTGTGTGTGTGTGTGCGACCTCACCGGCGCTTGATTCATATCAGCACACTCTCTGATGTTATCTCATAAACACACGTAGACAAACACAATGTCACGCACAACATGTTGAAATGAGCCTGTGAGTGTGAGACGGAGTGTGTGTGTGTGTGTGTGTGTCTGTAGGCGTGTACAAGAGGGAAAACCAGTTTAGGCAGCGCTGGTATTCAGCGAATCAGCTTAAATGACAATGTAACCTGTAGAACACACACACACACACACACACACACACTCACAGGCTCATTTGAGGAACGGAAACCCAGAGTGTGTGTGTGTGTGTACACACAGACACACTCTGGGTTTCCGTTCTGCACGCGCTTTATGAAGTAAATTTTTCAAATCATGAAATAACTCCAAAGAATCCCTTATATGGACTCTGAGGGAGAGAGAGACAGATACTGAAGATCCCTCTGTGTGTGTGTGTGTGTGTGTGTGTGTGTGTCTGTCTGTCTGTGTGTGTCTGTCTGTCTGTGTGTGTGTGTGTGTGTGTGTGTGAGAGAGAGAGAGTGTGTGTGTGTGTGAATGACTCTTCACTTTGTAATAAGCTTGTATAAGTAAGATGAGGTAATGCATTAGTTTTCATAAACTAACGGAGAACCATCATACAGCATTTATTCATCTTGCTTAATGTCAACTGATAAAAACACTGTTAGTTTGAACTGCATGCATGTAAAAAAATACTTTTAATATGTACAAATGAACAGATGAATACATGCTGTGACAGGTTTGTTCATTGTAATCTACTGTGTTTGTGTAGACATTATAATTATAAGTGTGTGTTTCTCATTTTAATCTCTGAATCAGATCACGGCTGATGTGTTTCATGTCTTTTGAGTGTGTGTGTGTGTGTGTGTGCGGTCGTGTTTTAAATGTGTGCGATGTCTCGTACGAAACTCACATTCAGTCTTAATGGAGCAAACAGATGCAGGCATGAATAAATGATGCTGATGTTTTCAGGTCAGACGGTCAAACGCAAACATACGTCGTTCCTTCATTAAACCTAAACACTCTCTGTCTGTCTATCTGTGTGTGTGTGTCTGTCTGTGTCTGTCTGTCTGTCTGTCTGTCCATCTGTCTGTGTCTGTCTGTCTGTCTGTCTGTGTGTGTCTGTCTGTCTGTCTGTCTGTCTGTGTGTGTCTGTCTGTGTGTGTGTCTGTCTGTGTCTGTTTGTGTGTGTCTGTCTGTCTGTGTCCATCTGTCTGTGTCTGTCTGTCTGTCCATCTGTCTGTGTGTGTCTGTCTGTCTGTGTCAGAGAGGCTCGTTTGCACAAAGAGAACAAGGCAGTGATTTTATCACCCCAGAGAAAGAGAATGACAGGAGTGAAGGGTGAAGGACAGACAGATAGCAAGAGACAAATAGATCATGAACGAATGCAGGAAAGGAGACCATTACAAGATTAGATAATGAATGAGAGACAGACAGATATATGGACAGACAGAGAGACAGAGAAGCTTTCTGGATATACTGTATATAAAAGACATTTATAATGTTATATTGTATAAATGCTGTTCTTCTGAACTTTCTGTTCATCTGTGAATCCTGGTAAATAAAATGTATCACAGTTTCCACAAAAATATTGTGCAGCAACTGTTTTCAACATTGATAATAATCAGAAATGTTTCTTGAGCAGCAAATCAGCATATTAGAATGATTTCTGAAGATCATGTGACACTGAAGACTGGAGTAATGATGCTGAAAATACAGCTGTGCATCAGAAATATATTACAGTTTATATTCAAATAGAAAGTTAAACAACTGTTTTACATTGTAATAATATTTCATAATTTTTACTATAGTTTTGATCAAATAAATGCAGCCTTGGTGAGCAGAAGAGACTTCTTTAAAACATAAAAAAATCTTACTGACCTAGTGCAGTAAACATAGAGATTTCATTTATTTAATGTTTTTTTATGTGTATATATATATATATATAAAAATACATTATTAATGCATGTCAGGTGTAATAGATCAGTCTTTCCTCTCAGGAGGTGGTTTGGGTTTGTTGTGACCGGCTGTGCGTCTCACCCTGAAGCTCCAGACAATATGAGAGGTTAATCTACTGTCAGAAACACACACACACACACACGCACGCGCACACACACACACACACACAC